TTTCTAAGAAAGAGCTGACATTTTAGCTTTAGGAGAATACACTGTACCCTTGAGTTACGACCAGCCTGACATACAAACAAATTTGCTTACAACCATGATTTTAGTTTTAAATTACGATCAAAGTCTTAAGTTACAACCTGAATGCCAGCCATTAGTACTTCCATACGGTCTCAGATACAGATTTAACCCTGAAAGAGTTCAGGAAGGAACATTATAACATCCTTTCCTATGTGGGGTTCATTGAGAAATTCTGGGCCAATGTCTAAGGACACTGAGATCTGCCTGGAAAAAACTGTGGCCTAAAGTTATACAGGAGAGAGACTCTGAAGGCAACTGACCAACTTGAGCTATAACCAGCCCTCAGGATCAAATTGAGTTCATAAGTCAAGGGTCCACTGTACTTTGTCCACTCATGCTATCTTAACTAAGATAACATTTTGAATTATGTAATTTTTAGTTCAGCTGTTAGACTACTCAGAGCCCTCATCATTGTTCCTATAAAAATCCAATTAACTTTATAAAAAGAGTCAGTATCCCAATCCTTTGTCTTAAGGTGATTTTACTATTTTTGTGCATAATCCAGACAGAAAAGTTTTTTTTTTTCTGTGAATGGTCTGTTCCCAAAGTTGTACCCCAGTACCAGACTTCATTTATCTAAATAACACTGTTTGTGTGAGGGACACAACAAAGTTAAAATACTTTAAAGAGAATAATGCCAAAATATTTGGATGCACTCTGAAGGATGACTTAAGTACAACTGAGTATTTTGATTTTTCAGAAATGTTATCTTTGAGATGGATCTATTTTCTAAATGTGTCTTACAAGTGTGTTTGGGAAATGAGTAACTATTTGACCTACCTGCTTTGTTTTGTTTTTAATGATGCTCTTCTTTTGTGGCTTACAAATATTTTATCATCAAAGTTAACTTTAGTGAGGGCTGTTTGTGTATCTGACATTCTGCCAAGCCTTTTATGAAGTAGAAAGTGACACCTTGCTAAGGTTCTTGTTCTTTGTTTGCTTCATTTTGTTTGAGATGATGTCTTGCTATTTTGCCCAGGCTGTTCTCAAATTCCTGAGCTCAGTCAGTCTTTATTGGCCCAGTCTCCCCAGTAGCTGGGACTTCAGGCACATGCCACTGTGCCTGGTTCTAGTAAGTCTCAATTTAGGGAATTAACCCAAACTCTAGACCCTTTGCTTTCTCCTCAGTTCAGTGAATTGTTGGAAGATTAAAGCAACTGTGGGCTTCTCGGTTCATCATGGGGAATTACTTGCCTAGGGCTGGGCAAGGTACTTCTGTGGAATTCTTAGGAACAGACCCAGGGAGGTTTGCCCAGCACCCCTCTGCAAAGGTATATGGCTCCTAATACTACTCCCCAAACACTCCACATTGATAAGTTGAGGTTCTTTGTGAATTAACTCAATAGCATTAAAAGGCCTGGAGTTGGGTATTCAGTTGGAAGAGTCAGGCCTATTTGCTTTGTAGTCTGCAAGATACAAAGTTGCCCATTTCTGATTTCCACAGGTAATTTCTGTGTAAAATTTTCTATATAAATATTTATTGTTCATTCTATTTTTCAAGAATATGAAGAAGAGGAGCTTTCAGCTCAATAAGAGTCACCTATACTGAACTTAGGGCTTACCTAATGTTTCCACAAGATTTTAGACAAAATTGATAGGACAGTACGAAAATTTCCCACATATTTTTTCCCCCACCATAAGTAACTCCATTGTCAACATTTGCTACAACTGACAAACCTACACTGACATAAAATAATCACTCGAAGTTCAAAGTTAACATTGGGGTTCACTTTTGGTGTTGTACATAGTACAGATTTGGACAAGTTTATTACAGTATATATTCACCATCCTCAAGAGACCTATTAACCCGTGGTTCATAATTGGTTTACCACACATTATCCAAAATCAAACAGTTTGGGCATTCACATTCTACTTGGGCCACCAGGAAAAGGGCAAGTGGAATTTAAGGAAAAGAGCACTAAACTTTCTCCTAATGAAGTGTACATATATCCCAAATGTGACATTATTTGTCCTGTGTGATATTCAGGATGACTTATATTAAAATTTTATTCACTATCTGAAATTTAAATTTACCCGGGAATTCTTTTTTCTGGTTAAAAAAAAAAAAAAGCCTGTAATAAAGCCATGCTGTTACACTATCATGGTGGGGAAGTACTTTCTGCAACTTCAAAAGTATGGAAAGCTAAATAAGGATGCTGTCGGTGCTGATTCAAATCATTATTATAACCCTAGGAATATGAAATTAAGTAGCTTTATGAATTTATGAGCCTCTAAACCAGGGTGATTTGAACTCTTATAACTAAAATCTTTTACCTTACTTTTGTTAAAATTTTACTAATGTTTTATACCATTTCTGATTAGTCTTCAGTTGATTGTCAATCAATGTTCCTGTGTTCCTAGTTAATGATCTATTTAGGAACTGAATAGATCTGAAAACCTCAAGTGTAAGCCCTCTGTAAAACAAAGACTTTTTTATTTAAGGCTCTTTTATGTTTTGGTCAGTGACCTAGGATATATTCATTCTAGAAGTTCCAATTTCTACACAATCAGAGTTTTTCTTTTTACAAATATAAGCAAATATTTATTTTAAAAAATAAATATAGTCATACTTATATGCATTTCCTCTTTAATAGTTTATTATTGAAAGAAATCATATTATTGAAAGAAATCACAAATAGCATAAGCAACTCTTTTTAAAAAATAAGTAGTTTGTTTCTTTATATCAGAGCTATTTAATTTTGCTGTTGTTGGCATTGTTGTTGAGAAAACTTCCTGAAGAAAGACCAGTTAGAAAATAGTCCAAAGGCAAGGAGGCATTAGGAATGCTCCCCCATTCTCTAGCCTCCTTGAAAACTCTTACACCCAGGAGCCCTTTTGCAGATCCAGGAGAACGTGGGCACTGAGGGCTAAGCTTTAATGCTACAGGAAGCTGGTAAGGAAGGTAATGTTGGAATGATTCTCCACTCTTATCATGGGAGGTGACTGTGCTACGCAGGGGCATCAAGGTTTCCTGTGTCATATGGGCTGCTCATTTTGGAGCCTTTCATTTATAAAGATGTGGCTCTCAGTCAAAGTCCTGATGTCCCCTTAATTGAAACATTAAGAACTCTTTCTTTCTTATGGAAAGTGATTGATTCAGCAGAGGTACCAGACCTCATTCCTAGCATTTGTTTGTGATCCAAAGGTGACCAACCAAGACACAGTCCCTGCCTTTTAGAACTGGTATTCTATCAAAGGAGGCAGTTCAAAAATGACACACCTAAGACCTCAGTGTTAGAATGTAGCAGTGCTATGGTGGGAGTCTGGGGAAGCAGAACACGGGGAGCAGGAGGTGGGGACATACTGCATTTTAAACAAGGAGATCAGAGTGTGACTATTGACCGTGACATTTCAGCAAAGTCTTGAAGAAAACATGGAGTAGCATCGGGTCCCCTAAAGAACGACCATCTAAGCAAAAAGGAATTAACCCACACAAAGGCCAGAGTCCTTAGCTGTGGTTCTGTCTGGATGATTTTGCCCCCGTGGGGATATTTGGCCATGTCTAGAGACATAGTAGTTGTGATGACTAGGATTGGAGGACACTGACATCTTGTAAAGATGAGACAACTTCCCACAAAGCAGAATAATCTAGCCCAAAATGTCAGGGGACTTAGCACACAAGTGCTTAAATTCATTCTACATAGTAGAATACCCACCATGTTTTAACCGTTAAATAATTGAGGTTTATGAGCAAATAATTTCAGGTAGGCATAGTCTGCTATTTCTGTGATTTAACAGTCTTGGAAAAAAATTCCTCTTGCTCACAACTCTTTTTGGGGTGTATATTTCTAAGCCACATATAATTTTTTTTTTTTTTTTTTTTTTTTTTTTGGTCCCGGGAAATGAACTCAGGACTTGTTCTTTCAAGGCAGGTGGCAGAACCACTGAACTAAATCCCCAGCCCAAACCACAGAGAATCTTAAAGAAACTAATTTTCCTGAAAATAGAGTCAGGAAGACATAAAAAGCATAGTACCTAATATTTCAAATTTAATTTGCTTTCCCTTTAGAAATATATTAAATTGTCCCAACAATTATTTTTCTCTTATTCAATTGGCCAAATACTGCACCAAATGCTGTAATATCCAGAAAACATTAAGAGATTGCAAGTTCACCGCTTTAACCAGGGGTCTCAGCATAGTGTCTCATTTTTCCCCTGTGGCGTCTCCTGAAGTGCACATCTCTGATCTGATTTGCAGCCAGAAGGTGAGAGCGGTGTGACAGCCTGGAGCAGACACTGGGCTCCCCCGTGGGGTCAGGGCTACATCTGTCCACAAACAACCTCCCCTTTCATCCATTGCTGTGATACAGTTGAGACATTTACACCACCATACTTTTTGTTAAAGTCACACCATTGAAAGAAAATGGCCAATTAGTCTCTTTATTAGTGAGATATAAGTTGTTTCTCCATTCTTTATAGTTTTTTGTTTTTGTTTGTTTTTGAGATAGGGTCTCACTATGTAGTTGAGACTGACCTGGAACTCACTGTGAGCCCAGGGTGGTCTCTAACTCACAGTGATCCTCCTGCCTCAGCCTTCCCAGCGCTGGGATTACAGGAATGAGCCACCATGCCCGGCTTCTTTATAGTTTTTAAAGGAAGTTTTAAAGTAGACTTGAGGTCTGGAGCTCTTTTTTTGTTCAGTCCAAATGTTCTTGTACCTTTTAGACAGACAGTGTCAGGATGAATTTCAGGGATGATCACTCAGAATTCCTCATGAAAGTCACAAGGTTGGGAGACACTTTTTCTTGGTCTCTACAACAGTGTTTCTCAAAGTTTGCTCTATGGATCGTGAATATTAGAGTTCTTCAGAGGTAAGCTAGCACTCTGCATTTCAGTGAGCATCCTGGGTATTTTCCTGCATGTCTTAGTTACTTTCACAGCTAGGACAAAATACCTAACACCCATAAGTTAAAGGAGGAAAGGTTTATTTTGGCACAGTTTACAGAGGATTCAGTCCATACTAGGGTGGCTCCAAGGCAGGGCAGCACGATAGAGGGGCCTGGCACAGGACAAAGAGTTGCTGGTGTGGCAGGCAGGAATCAGAGCAGGGATCAAGAGAGGAGGAAGGACACACACCTTCCAGCCACGCCCACAGTAACCCACCTCTTCCCACCAGCTTCACCTTTCCACATTACTCCCAGCTATAAACCCATCGTAGACCAGCAGCACACCCATGACCTAGTCACCTCCCAAAAGCCCCACCTATGAGTGCATGAGGCTTTGGGAGGACATCTAAATACAATCCCTAACACTGCTCTAGGCTACATTCCAAGGCAAGAAAAGAGCTTTCAGGGGTCAGCGTGCTCACAGCCCCCTCTCTGCTGACTTGCTGAAATTGGCTCAAACATAAAATACACTTGTAAAGGTTGGATTTCTACAACGAAGTGGATCACCTGCCACATTAGTCTCTTCTTCTAACTAATCTTTCATCTGCAAAGTGTTAGAAGATACGTATTAGCCTCTGTTTTTAGGAGATTACAGTGTGCAGTTTAAGCGGCTGATTATTTCACTATGGGTCCAATCATTTTGCTCTGACTTTAGGGGGCACTTTGATCTAGAAGATTGCCTGAAATGGTCGTTGTTGTCTCATGTGATATTTTGTGTTTTCTTGTTGAACAGCAAATATGCCAGAGGATTATCCAGATCAGTTTGATGATGTCATGGATTTTATTCAAGCCACCATTAAAAGACTGAAAAGGTCACCAGATAAACAAATGGCAGTGCTTCCTAGAAGAGAGAGGAATCGGCAGGCTGCAGCTGCCAACCCAGAGAATTCCAGAGGAAAAGGTCGAAGAGGCCAGAGGGGCAAAAATCGAGGCTGTGTCTTAACAGCAATACATTTAAATGTCACTGACTTGGGTTTGGGCTATGAAACCAAGGAAGAACTGATTTTTCGGTACTGCAGCGGCTCTTGCGATGCAGCGGAGACAATGTATGACAAAATACTAAAAAACTTATCCAGAAGTAGAAGGCTAGTGAGTGACAAAGTAGGGCAGGCCTGTTGCAGACCCATTGCCTTTGATGACGATCTGTCATTTTTAGATGATAACCTGGTTTACCATATTCTAAGAAAGCATTCCGCTAAAAGGTGTGGATGTATCTGACTCCAGTTCCAGAGACTGCTGTGTATTGCATTCCTGCTACAGTGCAAAGAAAGGGACCAAGGTTCCCAGGAAATGTTTGCCCAGAAGGGAAGATGAGGACCAAGGAGGCAGAGGTGGAGGAGGAAGAGAAGGAGGAAGGCAGCCATTGTGGGAGCCTGGTAGAGGGAGATCCAGCTACAGAAAACTGGATGGGAGAGAGAAAACAGCCATCTGGGTTCTCCAGGACAGCAGCTAGTGTCTCCAGAAGGTCAGGGCTGGTGTCCCTGGTTGGCTGTTTACATCATTTCTTCTGATACAGTCCACCATCACCAACCACAGTCACAGTTGCGGATGCACTCAAAGAACCAAACCAGTGTATCTCCTGTGGTTCGTTTTCACGTCTGAGCGCACCAGGGGAGCAATGAGCCTGGTGTCACTCCTTGTCATTACGTTCTACTGCTGAAAGTAAGAAAGATGTATTTTTCTGTCACTCAAATTCACATCCTGGAAAGGAGAGGGGGAAAAATAGTGGAGACACAAAAGATAATAACCTCTGAACTTAAATGCTGAGGCCTGAGGTTGACTACAACCAGTGTTTTGGGGAATGGTTGGTGATTAATTTTGAACATGATATGTGGGGTGGGAAGAAGTTGGCTAGGAACCAAAAGAACAAAAAGCTGTCTTCATGATGAAAAACAAACCCAAATGTATTTCCTTTATGTCCTAGGAAACAGGAAGTGTTCAACAGCATTCTCCTAGGAGTGCAAGCAGGGAAGGCCCCAGCTGCCCCAGGCCAGGGAGACCCACCCCGGGGCCTTCAGTTTACAGAGAGACAGATGTTACATACCCAGCTCCATTTATGCATGGTCACCAGTGACCAGAGAAGCTACTCGATGCAATGCATCTGTTTCAGATACAGAAATATAGAGAAGATATTTATTGAGATTTAAGTTATTGTTATTTATTACCATTCACTAATGAATTTCTCTTTTTTCCCTTATTTATTAAAGTTTCTTTTCAAAGGTGCCAAAGTATATATGCTCGCAAAATGCAAAGAAAGGAGACAAAAGGACATTTTAATTGGGAACAAGGGTCCATGCTTTTCAAAGTATTCAAAAGGTTTTCTCTAGGCAAAAATCACTTACTTTACCTTTTTTTTTAATTCCTCATCAATTTCCCCCGATTTCAGTCTTTCTCCCCGTTTGTATTTTTGTCTAAGCATGTCCGAAGGAGCACCTACAGGTCAGCCCCCTTTCCGGGAGCACTGTGCAGAGACCATTGGCACTTAGCTTCATTTCTTCACTGCTCCTGCACTGAACAGATGTGCCGTATGCTCCACTCTCTGTTGTATTTAAGCTCTTCTTCCCCTCCACATGTATCTACCTGTAATATGTGTTACTAT